TATACATTCTGTTTTTGTTAAGTAATCTTAAAAGATGTGTATAGTTTAAAGAAGAAAATAAAAAATGATTCTATATTTCTTGCAAGAAGCAGTTAAATTTATGATATAAGTTAAAAGAAAGACAAAGAATATGAAAAAATGATAAGATATTTGAATAAAAATGATTGATATTTATTTATATTGGATTACTTTTAGATTTTATTAAATAGAATTTTGTATTAAGTATTTATAACATATTTATAATATTTTAATAGATAAATATAAATTGAAAATTAAGATCAAAATTTAAAAAAAGATCAATCTTTTTTAGTTTTGTTTTGCTAAAATAACATCTGTAGATAATTTAGTAAAAAAATGTTCTTAAGAATTTGTTTATACTTTATCTACTTAACTACTTTATTTTGTAGATTTTCTTTTGACTTAATCAGTTTTAGGAGTATTTTATATAGTTACCCTACTAGATTTAATATTGTTATTTGTATTTGTTATATTAGCATTTGAACTATTAAGGTATACTAACTTAAACATTTGATTAATTATTTGAAAGTAGTTCTTTTGTTTAATTAGCACCATAATTATAAAATAATTTACTTTTCATACCATCATGTACTTATTTAAAATCTTCTCCTAATGCATCAGCTAATTATTTTGATAATTCACTTATATTTGATTATTTCTCTTATACAGGTTTTTGTTCTTATTATAATTATTTAGGTATAGTTTTTTTCATTTCTTAATATTCTTATTTCTCATTATTTTATTCTTTACAATTTTAATTTTATTTTTCACTAATATCATCAAGCATAAGATCCTAGAAAATTTTAAGAGTAATTTCAATATCATTATTTTCCATCATTTCTAACCATTTATTTTCTGATGATGCTTGATCAATTTATTTACAATTCTATTTTTTTCATTTTGTTGTTTTTAATTATCTTAACCTAATAATTAAATTCTTATTTTTTGTTGGAATCATTATCTATTTATTCAAATCTTTTATTTAAATCAGTCTTACAAACAAATAAATCATCTATCTGTATTCAATTTAATGATTACTTCTTAATCAGCTACTACATAAACAGGTTTTCTTTTGTTCTTATTTTCTTTCATTAATTTATTATATTAGAATTACATTAAAATCTTAAATTTCATCTATTTTCACTTACTATAAAAATATATTACTTAATACATATTCTTCTATTTATTTCTCTTTTTCTTTAGATGCGCCACATCCCATTTTTATTTTATAATAAAATTATTATATAAATATAATATCAATTAAAAAAAATGAAATAAAACTATATATAAATATTATATAAATCTTATAAATGATATTATATTTAAATAATAAATTAATTATTTTTTAAATAATATTGATATATATATATTGATAATAATCTTTATATCTTTATTATTACATTAATCAAATAATTAATTTATTATTTAAATATAATGAACTTATATTTGACCCATAAAAATATTTTATTGATTAAATAAATAAATGTTGTATAGTAAGATATAAATTAATAATAATCACTTGATTTACATATATTTTAAACAATTACTTAAAAATAAATATGAGTCTTACATAAACCATTCAAATATATGAATAAAAAGTAAAATGAACTGCATTAATTAACATAATTTTAAGAAAAAAAAATTATAATAAGATTACATATTTATAACATTAACAAATTAAATTAATATATTTAATGAAAACATTCAAAATCCAACTCAATATTTCTTCGAGTAATCAAATAATCCATCAATAGAATATTTACCGAAAATAAATGAATTTGTTAGTAAGTTGTTAAATTAAAAATAATGTGTTTTATGCAAAAATGATTATAATTTGAAGGATAGATTACCAAGAATATTGATTCATTGTGGTCATACATTTTATATAATTTATTTAACATATTTAATAGAAGATCAAAAGAATCTTCATTAAATGTTAAATAATCACTAAATTTACGTCTTAAGTATCTTGCAACATAATATTTTTATAATTATAGAAAATTCTCTAACATTACTTTGATAGCAACAGAAATATCAAAATCCATTACATTATTTCTTCAATGCATTCTTGCATGAGCTATTTTAATACCACCACATACCTCAGATTCTTTTCTCAATAAATAATAAAATTTAGATATCTTTTCATGATCTACATTTTATAATTTTGATCTAACATGTGTCAAGCATATAATTTATATTTTTTAAGTAATTCTAGTGGTATTATTTCATCTTGAGTTTATTTATTCTCATTAACAAAATAACTTTTTATTTATTAACTCCATTCTGAAATAGGATCATTATTTAATTCATATGCAGCCATAGGATGTTGTCTAATATGAATAATAATAACAAATGAAGCTAATCTATCTGCTTCTTTAATAACTTCATCTTTAACAACACATAAAATATCAAATCTACTTAAAATTGGATCAGTTAAATCAACATTATCATGAAAAGATTATTATGACATCTAGCTTGAAGTCTTGTAACAATACCAGCTTTTGATATAGAAATACTTTATTATTCCATTGCTTCATGAATAGATGTCCTATCATGTTCATTCATTTTATCAAATTCATCAATTAAACAAATTTTTATATCTGCTAAGACTAATGCTCCTCTAGATATACTCCATTCATTTGTTGAATAATCTCTTAAAACAGAAGCCGTTAAACCAACAGCAGAAGCACCCTTACCTGTTGTATACATTGATCTATAGAATGTTTTTTGTACATTTTTTAAGAATTACGATTTAGCAGTACCTGGATCTCCTAATACTAATACATTAATAACTCCTCTAATTCTATGCTTTCCTTAGATATCTTTAGCTTCACCTCCAAACATAGCAAATTTATAGCCATTTTAACATGTTGATGACTATAAATTAATGGAGCAACAGAATTATATCTTAATTTATCAATTTTAGGATTTTATGATAATTTTAAGATTTCATCTTTAATTTTTTTATCTATACTTAAAGATTCACTTTCGATTTTCTTCTAATATAATTACTTGCAATAATTGTAGAATATAATGGAAATCCATGGTTTACATTAAGAGCATAATCATATCTTTAAGTATAAACTCCTGTTACTTCAATTTCATCTCCAGGTCTTGTAATATCAATTTAGTCTCCTAAAACAATAACTTCTTTTTATCTAGGTACTCTTCCTGCTGGTACTTAACCAGGTGATTCTTGGAGTGTTAATCTTAAAAAGTTTCTATAAACTAATTAATTATGTAGTTTTTCAAATGGACCACTACTTTAATATTAAATACAAACTCCTAATTATATGCTATCATTATTTTCTAAATAAAATGGCCTTATTTCATTCCACATTTAACACAAATATATGTAATCTATTTTAATTAAGAATACACAGCACTTCTTCTTGTAACAACACCAATTACAAGAATAAATTTATCTAAATGTTTATATCTTAAATCTCTAATAATATCCACCACAGGAAGATGTGTAATTCTAACAAATATTTCTCAATTAAAATTATGATAATGATTAAATCTCTTATTAACTTCAATTCTTGCAGCTTCATTTAAATGAGGTAAAATAATCTTTGGTCTTCTGCAACCCATAATGCAATAGTAGCATTAGCCTTCACTAAATCAGGATATAAAACTTCAAGTGACTATTTATTTGCTTTACACATTTCTTTTATCAACTAAATATAAATTGGTTCTTATTCAGATCCTCTTTTACATTTATTTAAAATCTTTCTAAATGCTCTCTTAATCAAAGCCTCTATAAACTTAATAAATAATTAATACTTGTTCTATCATCCTTAATCCTTTCATTTAATTTTCCTCTACATTCTTCAATATTTAAATATCTCTCTTCTTCAACTACATCAGTATCCTCTTCTTCAAAAGGATCTTTTATATATACTCTCTCTCCAAATTAATCCAAATCATCATCTTCAGAATCACTTAAATTTTAAGCAGCTCTAGGAATTCTCTTATCACCCATTCTTATTCTCCTTCTTCTTTCAATTTCCTCCTCTGCTCTTCTACGTTATTCAATCCATATCTCCATGCATTTCTTCATCATCTATTCCCTCTGATTCATATCTATCTTATTCAGGCATAGGTTTATAGTCATTTATCATATTCTCATTAATTAATTCCTCCCCTGAATCTTCTTCATCTGGAGTTCCCTCTGAAGACTATACACCCACTTAATCTTCCTAAGCCTCCTTATCTGAACTTCTTTTTTTCTCTTCCTCCTATTATCCTCTTCTTGGTCTTCTAGGTCTTCCACTCATTGTATTATTTTATTAATATTCATTAAATTCATTCCATCTCAAATATGAATATTCCCGCATAACATATTTTTGGCCTAAATTATATAATAATTACTTTACTTAATATAATTACTATATTCTTTTGATATTTAATAATACATATATATATAATTATTAAATACGAGTGATTTGAATATAAAATAATAAAGTGAATATAATAATTATTCTAAATAATTTAAACTTTATAATTAAATTCTTTTTTCAATTTTATATTGGTTTTCCCATTATGTATCTTTATAATGGATTATCATAGTATTACTTAATTTGTATTATTTCTTACTTTCTTTTATTTTTTTAACGTAATTTATATGCCTAAATACCTTATTATAAAATGTCAACTGTTAAAGTAAAGCCTATTATGAAACAAAATAGACCTATATGTAACCATCCATAAACCAAAAATTTATTCTCGTTAAATTCTTAACTGTAGACTAAAAATGATCCTGTAATTATCAAAAATACAACTTCTCTACACAGCAATTTAGCTAAATCAAAATTAGATTTCTAAGGTCTAAAATAAATCAAATAAATTAAATAAAACAATGATTGCATTGAAAGTAAAATTGATTATGCTTCAGGATATTCAATTAATTGAACAATAATGGTAATATAAAAAACAGTTCTATATATTTGGAATGGTTTGAAGTTACCTGACCAAAATGTGGTCTTGAAATCTAAAAAAAAATACTTCCATTTTTATTTATCCTTAATTTTTGAAGTAGTGATAGTGAGTAATCTCAACAATATTTAAATGAGAAATAATAAACTTGCTAATGCAACAATACTATTACTTATCTCAAAAATAGAATTAAAAGTATAAGACGGAAATTATAATAAAGTACTAAATACTAATTAATGAAGTGATGAATAAAAAAGTTAATAAACTCCTAATGAAAAATAATACTTTTTCACTTCGGCACATTTCCATTGGATTTTCTTTTAAAAAATTTAGATTAAGCCTAGAATCTTTATATTATCCTGGTTCTTTTCAAAAAATCTTCCCAACCATTAAGAAACTTTAATTGAAGATATTAAAACACAGATAAAATAGGTTAGTAATGATATTAAATAAGAAAAGTAACATCCTTTAGCATTAATTAAATAAAATTAATTCAAAGTATCTACTTATTTGGATTATTTGGATTTCTTACCTATGAATGGAAGAGTACCTCCATTGAGTTTAGCAATAATTTTATCAACTTCTAAATAATCTAAAATTGGTTATAAGGAGATTTTGGTATACGTTTCGAGGAACTAACGTAAATGTGGAGGAAATCTATATTATATATACTTAATGTAAGATAGTGATTATAGTAAGTCTAATTAGTTGAAAAATACAACGTAGTTGCCTGTTAATAACAGAATCCCAGCAATTCCAGCTGTTGAATAGACTACAGCTTCGTTCATTTGGATAACTTAAACTACTTTTTACTATGTTTCTTTTTATAATACAAAAGGTGTTCCAAGATTTATTTATTTAGAATTAGTACTTAGGTCCAAATCATAATGGTTAAAAATATAGAATTTCTGTATATTAATTTATAAAATTGGCTCTACAACAGGTTCCAAAAATTAAATATTAATTTCATATTTAGGATTACTTAGCTAAGTAGTTATGTTGATTAAAGGAACTAATTTTAATTCAAATTTAGCTGATGGGATTATCATAAATTCTACAATATTTTCAAAAAGGTTTTCTTCATTTATATATACTTCTTAAGAAAATATTAGTTCAAGTATTTTATTTTTTTGAGTTTTTTCGGAAAGTAAAATTACATTGAAGTTTGGTACTTAAATATAAGTGCAAAAACTTAAAGACTTTTCTTGATTAATACATTTAAAAGAAAATTCTTCAAAACATAAAGCAGAACATCCATCTCCTCCATCATTATTTCCATCATCACACTATTCAAAATTACTGTTAAGCATTCCATTACCACATTTATTAATACATTAATTACCGATAAATTCATAATTCTCATTACATTATACAACATTTTATTCCTAATTAGGTTCTGAATTAATAATTGGTTCTGAATTAATAATATATTTTATCTCATCGCATTTATAATTATCAGTGTTTAAAATATAATATTTATCTTCACATTTTAAACAATTATCATCCTTTTCACATTAAATACATCCAATAGAACATTAGTATTGACATTCAAAACATCCATCAAAAGGAATATCATTACCATCATCACATTATTCAAAAAAGGGAGTAATAATATTGTCTCCACAAATTGGTTAACATTTCCCATCCTTAATCTTAAGAGGGTAGAAGCAATATTCACAATTTTAGAATTTGTCACAAAGCAAACAATTATGATCGCATTAATATTTACAATCAGCACAATTAGAATCTCCAGGATCATCACACTATTCATTAGATAAAATAGCCAGTAATCCATCTCCACAAATCTATTTACATTCATAATCCTTCAGCTACCATCCTTCCTAACACATAAAACACATATTATAAGAGCAAAATAAACATTCTATTTAACAGCTTTGCTAACATTTATAACAACCATCAAATTAACTTCTATTCTCATCATCACAGATTTCTTCTGATTATAAAATCCCATCTTAACATTTAGGAATACAATATTTTTTATAAAAATCTAATTCATATCCATCTTGGCATTCCTTACATTTTCCAAATTATCCAACTTTGCAATAATTTACTTACTAAAACTTTAATTGATAATCTTAATAACCAATAACTTTGTTAAGATTCAAATAAAAATGACAAAAGGAAAAAACATTATTATCATCATATATTCTTTGGAATTGGTTCTAAAAGGGTATTATTTATTAATATCTTTAAATTATATATAAATCTAAGCAATTTTTGTTTTCTTCCATATAATCTTTATGAATATTATTCTGAATATGTATACATTAACCATTTAAAAGTAGATATAAAGTATCACAATTTAAACATTTTCCAAATTAACATTCCCTACAATTTTTAGGGCATGAATATTTGCATTAATAACATCCATCATAGGCTAATTAATTATCGTCATCACATTCTTCATCATAAACGATGAGCTAATCTCCGCATTTAGGAATACAAGATTTTATTTGTTCTTAATATTACCAACCAATTAAACAATCATAGCAGATCCCTTTAATACAATTTCCACAACCTTCTATGCAATCATAATTATCCGAAAAACATCCATCAAAAGGAATCAAATTTTTATCCATGCATACATCACTAACTTTACAAATAAATAATTAAAAATCTCTCATCCCGATATAAGTATCTAGAGTAGAATCCTTTTTAACGAGATCAACTTATATTTTAATTTTTAACCTTTAAACCTAATGTTAATATTAAAATAATTAAATTTCTTACATAGAAATATAATTACAAATATTACGATTTTATTTTATTTCTTAGTAATCATGATCAATTTCTTGTACTTTATTATCATCTACATATATATAAATTTTAGATGATTAAGAATTAAAAATTAAAAGTTTCAATTAAATACTTATGGCATAATGTTAATCTAACTCAAAGACTTAGAACAAAAAATTTCCAGAAGTAACTATGTAATTAAATCCTTTAATAATAATATGTTATGTACCTAAGCAGTTTTAAGCATTATTAGTTCCATATTACCATCCTTCTTTTGGAGTAATAATAGAGAACTCTTTTAAATAAAAAAGTTACAATTCTTAATCAAAACATCCAAATGAATGACAGGAATTACATCCTATTGAACATTCATTTATTGATAATTTGAATTGTGTTATTCCCCAATTATGATTTTGAGCTATCATAGCAATCGTGACTGAAGAACTTGAATGTTAAATTGTAATAGAAATAGGAAAAATGAGATATAGGATGCTATAATAGTTGCAATTGCTAATAGATGATGTATTTGAATTTAAATAAATCTCTTAGTGTTCATTTTTATTATCTATATAAATAATAAATTCAAATTGATTATTATTATTTGGTCTTATAAAATAAAGAATATGATTACCTCAAAAATTTTAATTCTAATGTTAGCTCATAATGAGACTTGAGCTCAAAAGTTTTGTAAAGTAAGTGATTATAAAATTAATTTTTGTTTATGATTATTGCTTAATAAGACTCACAATTTTTTTCTGTAAATAATTCCTGACAATTATTTTGATTATTACATGCATTCCAGGCTAAATTATAATATAATTTTATTTATTACTATCTGATGATTAGCCAAAAAGACCCTCGTATATTACAATTTTTTCTGTAGAATTTGCAATGAGACAAAGGATCATGAAAAGGGAAATTACATTCGACAATGCGGATTTAGATGCAAAAGTATTGATATTTAAATCAGCTACTTGCATGCTTTATTTTTTATCAAACATAAAATAAAAATATTTATTCACATTATTTAAGATATATGATTCTAGAACTAATTTACTTACAATAATTCAAACTCGATTATTGTAAAATGCATAAAAACTTAACATTAATTTATCAATTCATTAGGCATTATCCATATATTTATAAAAAATTTATGTTAACACAGTCATATTAATTAGGTAAAATATAATACTTAAATAGAATTTGATAAAAGAATTAAGTTCAAATTTTATAAAACTTTCATATACAATTTTGTGAATAAAAATGTACCTCAAAGAATACTTCTATGTATTATGAGAAGAATTAAGTAGTAATAATCTAATCAAATTAAATTTGTTGAAATAACTTTGATTGAAAATTATACTGAAAATTTATCATCTATAAAAATTAAAAAATCAATCTTGTGAACAGTCTAATGGATAATTTATTTTTAAATAATAATATTGATGAAGATAATTTTTGTTTGTTAAAGTCAAAAATGTACATGACTTGCTATGCCAAGATATGATATAATAAAGCTTAAATTGAGAAAGAAAAATAAGTGATA